AAAAGTAATAATAATTATTACTTATTACCGAGTAATAGTAATAAAAAGTAATAGTAATGTAGCAGTCCTATTTACCAGACAAAGTGATGGAATAATTATTGTTTTCTTGACGTTCGAAGGACCTCTTACTTTTGCCTGAACAAACTGAAGATGTACAAGGTCATTGCTCATTGAGAACAGACGATCAAAAACCATTTATTCAGCTGCAAAATATCAGTGCCAAATGGGATGTAGGTATCTTCAAGGTGTCCTCATTGTCATCATGCGTACAATTTCCTTCGAATCTTTTAGAGTGATATATTTCAATTGGGTAATATCACCTTCAGTGCGAAACCAGGCGATTTAGTGGCTGTTGTTGGTCCTGTCGCATCTGGAAAGAGTTCACTACTTCAACTTTTATTGAAAGAGATGACGATTACCAGCAAAGGAACAATGACCATCGATGGAACCTGCAGCTATGTTCCCCAGCAGCCATGTAACTTGTTTGTGGATATATCGTTTTTTGTACTGTAAAAAATTATTATTTCTTCAAAGGGATATTTTCATCTTCTATAAGAGAAAACATCTTATTCGGCTTACCATATGAAGCAGTCAGGTTTTCGGAAGCAGTTAGAGCATCAGCACTTGATACAGTAAGCAGTTGTATATACCGTGTTATTCTTCGTTCCTTTGACACACTATCGATACTCTAGGATTTAGAAATATTACCACATGGTGAATGGACATTGGTAGGTGATAATGGAGTAGCTTTGTCCGGTGGTCAGAAAGCAAGAGTGAACCTCGCAAGGGCGTTGTATCGAAATAGTGACATTTATCTACTAGATGATCCTCTAGCGGCAGTAGACACAAAAGTTGGAAAATACATATTTCAAAAGTAAGCCGTTTCTCATTATTTACTCATATTCTCCTTTCTTCTGTCTTCATTGCAGATGTATTCGTAATACATTAAAATCGAAAATTGTTATTTTGGTTACACATCATGTTCATTTTTTGCAAAGTGCAACAAAAATCTTATATGTAGATCATGGAAAAATTGTTGCTGAAGGCAAATATCATGAATTGATTGATAAAAATGAATTTTTCACCAATTTTGTTACTGAGGTTCAGCATCAAAAATCGGTAGAAACAGTTTCCGAGTCAAATGATAAACTGAAATACAGACAACTGAGTAGTCAACTGGATTCTGTAAGTTATGTTGCGTTCTTTATTTAGTGGAGACACTCGCGATTTTTATTTTTAATAGGTAGCTGACGACGAACATGACAATACAAAAGTAGCATTATTAAGCAGCAACTACGAAAATCTTTGGATTGCTGATACGATGAAAACACATGAAATACAAGAAGACGAAGCTAAGGTCATTGGTGGTTTAAATTCTAAATTGTTCGTTAAATATTTCCAAGCTGGTACAGGTTATTTGGGCATGATCGGTTTGCTTTGTCTATTTACTTTGACAATTGTTTTGTTACTTTTGAGTGATTGGTGGTTAGCCAGATGGTAGGTGGAAAATTAAATCAAACGCATAACTTCTGTAATAAACAGGAAGACGTTTGTTTCAGGGGAAAAGAACAAGGTATTCGTAAAGGATTAAACGAAGAAATTTCAAATTGTTCATCCAAGGTTGATCAATTAATATCAAATATGTCAACAGTCGAATGGAATCACCGTCGAAATAATAATTTTTATGTTTATTTGACATTGAATGTCGGTGGCTTTTTATTACAAGCTGTTCGAATTATCCTTTTCACTTTATCTTGTAGCATAGCTGCTCGTTCAGTTCACAACAAGATGTTTCAGGCAATCTTATATTCAAAAGTTCATTTTTTTGACACAAATCCAGTTGGTCAGCTTAGATGTTTTGTATGATGTGTGCGCATGAGTAATATACAATCTTTTTCTCTTTAGGACGTATTATAAATCGTTTTTCCAAAGATACAGAAAATATGGACGAACAATTACCAATGAAATTGTTTAATCTTTTCGATGTAAGATGTTATTTTATTTCGATTACTATAAAATATACACCACGTCACTTTTTTTAAAGACTACATTTGCAACGGTTGGTACATTTCTTTTTATCAACGTAATAAATCCTTGGACATTAATTCCAACGGGCATTATATTCTGTAGCTTGCTGTATATTCGCAGTTTATATGCTAAACCAGCACAAGATCTACAACGGTTGGAAAGTCAAGGTATCTACTATAAAATATAATACTAGGACTTTTGAAATACAGAATCATGTTCTTTCTTTGTGTCATAGCTCGTAGTCCAGTTTACTCCCATTTATCATCGACATTAGATGGAATTACGGTAGTTCGAGCTTTTCATTCTCAGACTCAATGTACCAAACAATTTGAAAATTATTTAAATCAACATACAAAACCATACTGGCTATTGATGACAGTTGACCGATGGAGTGGAATTCGTTACGACTGGATGTCAGCGGCATTTGTTACATTTTTAGTTGTAACAAGTCTTATATTTCATAAAAGTATGTTTGTATGTTCTTCATAAACGTATAAATCCTGCAATACAGGCTCTTTTAGGTTTACAAAGTGCAAAAATAACTGTTGCTTTAGTTTATTCATTAACTTTAATTGGCCAATTCCAATGGATGATTAGACTTGGGGTTGAAGTTATGTTGCAGGTACTTGTTACGCATTGAGCAAGAAAAGAGAGCCGAACTTTTTGATGAGGAAAAAAAGATTAGTTATTTATTAGTCCTCTTTCAGATGATTAGTGTGGAACGTATTTCTGAATATTGTCATTTACCATTGGAAGAAGAACCTAACCAAAAACGTCATCTGGAAAAACCCAAACCACACTGGCCTCATAGTGGTGAAATTTCATTTCAAAATCTTTCGTTTCGTTATTCAGAACAGTCATCATGGATATTAGATAAAATTAATATACAAATAAAACCATCGGAAAAAGTGGGAATTGTTGGTAGGACCGGAGCCGGAAAAAGTTCAATTATTCAAGCGTTATTTCGAACGGCTGAATTAGATGGCAAAATACTGATCGATGGTATTGATACACAGACGATTTCATTGTATGATTTAAGACGACGCTTATCAATTATACCGCAGGTTAGACAAATTCTTCTGTTTAGAGAGCTGTTTGCACGATCTCTTCCACTGTTGAATCATTTAGGATCCAGTTTTATTTGATGATACACTCCGAAAAAATGTAGATCCATTTGGTGAGTTTTCAGATGTAGAAATATGGAATGCGTTAGAAGAAGTAAGTCGATTTTTATACACACAGATATATAGTAAACTTGAATTATATCATTTTGTGTTGTTCAGGTTCAATTAAAATTATCAGTTAGTTCACTGCCAAATGGCCTCCAGCAACAAGTCACTGAAGGCGGTTCAAATTTTAGTGTTGGAGAACGTCAGTTAATTTGCTTAGCACGGGCATTGCTGCGAAAAAATAAAATTTTAGTCATTGATGAAGCAACAGCAAATGTAGACATGAGGTAAAGACATTTAGAAACTAGAAAGGTGCCCTCCTCTACTTTTATCGTTTATTCAACGTTTCTACTTTTCTTCCTTGAAGAACTGATTATTTGATCCAACAAGCTTTACGTAAAAAATTCAAAAATTATACTGTTCTGACCATAGCACATCGTCTTCGAACTGTCATTGATAATGATCGAATATTAGTAAGTGTTGTCCTCCACGCTTTCTTTGCTACTAAACCCAACTTTTTCAATCAGAATTTTTGTTTCGTTCTTTCATAGGTACTATCAAATGGTCAAGTAATTGATTTCGATCATCCGTATATTTTACTTTCAAATTCAAATTCATATTTTTATGAAATGGTTCAACAAACACAAAAAAGTGAAATACACCATTTAATGAAACAAGCTAAAAAATATTATAAGAAAAAAGATGTTCAGCAGCAAGAACAACAACAACTTGTTTTTGAATCAACTCTCTAATCAGATCGTTCGACAGTTTAGTTTTGGTATACATAACTTTGGAATCTACGTATCTGTTTTTCTCTCAATTCGACAATGATTATTTTTATAATAATAAATTAACAAATGAGAGACAATATTTTCTTCACAGAATATGAAACCCTCATATTACATTGGTAGGTGATTCTATTTAGATATAACGTTATACGTCATATTCTTTCATTTCACTTCACTTGTCAAAAAAAAGAAGGAAAGACAGAAAAAAGTCAGACCGGATGTTGCTGAGAAAAGGATGAACGGCCTATCCAGCTAACAGTCACCTTCATTTAAGATGGTTCGAAAATTTTTTTTTAACTTTAAGAATTTGTGAAGCACATCGTCTAACGTAGTTTTTGAAGCTGAT